CTACAGTTCATCTTCCTTTTCGAAATCCAAACTGCTAATCTGATACTCCTCGGATACGTAATAGTTCTCCATTGAGACGTATGAGAAATTGCTCAAATAGTTTATCTTCTGAATCAAGAAATCATATTGGACTATATAAGGAAGGATTATCTGGGGGTTTGTTGCCTTTTCTCAAAAGCACAACTTAGCTTTCTTCCATCCGATTGGAAAGTTTCCTTGCTTCGCTAGATCGTTGTAGAAAGATAAAGTATTATTCGGGTTTCGTAGGGCCCCTGCTTCAATTATTTCTGGCGGTATATTTGCTGGCCCAGGGGCCTTGTTGGTTTTCAGTTTCATGAAAGCATTTTACTCCGTAAAATTAATGAAACTCTAGTCTTTATTATAGGTGAAATGGACTTCCTCATGAATGGAAAACAAGTGGTCTGTCACTTTCTTCATCTTATCAACATTAAAATACAGTTTAAGAGGAAATCCCAGCATCACTTTCATCGCTATCTTATACCTATTGCCCAAAGTGTCTCTATCAACTTCTTCACAAAGTTTTTTCCAGCAGTCCCTTTTTGATTTTTTGATGACATTTCCTATTGTTTTTTTGTTTCCATATAGTGATCCCAGTAAAATCAGTTTTCCATGAGCGTTAATCTTCTAGCATTTCTTGTATATTCTCTTCTTTTCCGATGGAACTGTTTTCATAGTAGTGCAATATCACTGTTCCACCAGTAATTTGGTTTTCTCAGACTATCACTCTTCTTTTCTGGGATCACTTTGTCACAAATCTGGTTCAATTTTTCCGTAATTTTTGTTGAGGTAGGAATTATCTGGTTATCCTTGGAGTTATCTGAGATGTCATTCAGCTTTTGACGATCATCTTTGTCGCTCATACACCTTTTGATGGGATGTTTCATGTAGTTATAGTCAAGTCCAGGATAGAACCATAGTTCTGATGTTCAGATGTAGGTTTATCAGCCTCATTGATAGCAATCAGGTTGTTGGCTGCAATCCACTTCGTCATAACTTGTCTCGTTTCTTATCATTCATAAGGAGCCGTATTTCTTGCAATGATTTCTCTAAGTCTTCGATATCAGCATTACCAGAGCGGTAATAACTGAATATTGTAAAATTTGTGAAAGCGACATATGTAATGATTGTAATGATCTTGATTTTTTATTCCTTTATTGTAACCTAGTATTTTCATTGCTGTTTTGAAATCATTTCCGTATACCCAGTCGCTTCTACCGCGAATTGTACCTGTGTTGGGTTCACTCACGATAAGTATTTCTACTGCTAGCTCATTAGCTGTGGCAAGAGCTATATCACGAGCTGCTTGACTCCTGTTACAATTTATTTGTCATGGGCGGTATTTAAAATTGCCACCTCCATTGCTTGGCTACCCATGCTTTCATTTTCTTCTGCGGCTAATACTTTTCCGGTTGACTTTGTTTCAGTGGCCACTTGCTGCCCGGTTCGCGAAGTCAATACTGGATTTTTTTTTGATTTGGCTGGACATTTGAATGTACCTGACTGGTGCCCTTCTGTCTCACAGTAAATACAATATGGTCTTTTTCGACACTCACACGACACTCGATCTGGTCCTGCGCACTGTTCCTTGGGGTGTCCAAATTCCCAGCATTTGAAGCAGCGAATCTCATTCTGTCTTTCAGCGCATCTACAGATCGCCCAATCGATTCTCGTTGCTTTCAATTGCAACAGCTTTTTGGCATTGTCTTCGTGCATCAGTAGTGTTGCATTCTGCTTATCTCCATAATCAGGTCGAAGTGCTCTCACCTCAAACGCTTCAGCGTTCTTATTGATAATTTTAAAAACCTCTTCAACTATTTCTCTTTCTGTCACGATACAGTCCATTCCCTTTATGTGGATGATCTTTTTGCTGGAGAGTAGCCGAGCTGTTGCTTCTGGTACTCTTTGTGCTGATTCTTTTTTTTTATTTCAGCCTTGTCCCATCCAATTTGTACTGTGAGAATAACTCCATTATTTATACTTTTTCTCACTCCTATTGTGTCGTGGATTTTTACTACGAGTACTGCCGTTGACGGATGTGTTTGTTAGAGGGTTTCTCGTACTTTGTATAACTCTGTCATTTTCTAAATAAAAAATGAGTTCCACGGTGGTGTCAGCAAGCAAATATCTCAACACACGGGATAAAATCGTCCCGAATACATCATTTGAAATATTTATTGCAAATTTACTTGTTTTGTATCTGGTTGCATGCTCTTTGATCGCTACCAGACACTGAAAAAATAGTTTGTCAGATTGGTCGCTAGTCCTTGCCAGTTCGTTCAGGATTGGAAAGTACATCCACCTTGTAATTTGGTTTACATTTCCATCTTGATCTGGGAATCCAAGAGAATGACTCAGCATGGCTACTTCCCCTTCCTTTTTATTTTGACTTCTCAGTCCATGTCTTCCGCCAAATTTTTTTATGATTTGGTTTATGCTCCTATCTCCTGATTCTATGTTTTCATTACAAACAAAGATAAACCCAGTGTCGTTTGGTGTGTCATATATATGGCCTTTCTCAACCTTAGACTGTAAGAACACATCTGAGTTCCATTCTTCTTCGGTTGTGGCACAGAAGTTATCATATGATTCTTTCTTTTTCAGTTGCTTCCTTCTATGGAGGGCTTCCTGCCCTCTTTTGCAATTTTCGCATTTCATATTAGATATATGTTCCTCCTGGGCCAATTTTTTGTTATATCCTGTTTCTGTTGGGTATCCCTGCACCGTAAGGTTTTCTTTTTTTTTTGGTGTACATGGCATCAAGAATCAAAGTATGGTATCTCTCTTTGTCTGGCATTTTCCCCTCGACCCGTCCGACGGTCCATCTATCTATCTATCTTTTTTTTTAAAGAGGAGGGGAAATCTTCATAGACTCTATGCCGGATTCCTACCAACTGAAACCCCTCCCCCGGTGCTCAGCAATACGTACCGGAAACCGCTCTTGCAATACTTCGATACGTATGCCCTAGGCAGTGTTTGTACTAAAAGTAAATTTGAGAACTATAGGACGTTTACATATACATTACTAACTATCACATTTGGTAATCGATTTGTGCTCGATTTCTTGAGCTTATTTTCCCATTTCTTTGATCTTATTTCTCGTCACCTGCTCTCTCTTTCCTCAGTTTTGATGATTTCTCTTATCGTCATATAGGTTCTGTTCAAAGTCTCTTCGCCACGTAAGAGACTTTCCATCATATTTTCGGCATTGAATATGGTGTTTGTTTCACGTGCATACAGAAGTCTCGCATTTTCTTATTCAGACAAAAAGGGTGTGTTCTACGTCGTCCTCTGCATTGCAGTGAACACAATCTGGTGATTCTGCTTTTCTACGGTTATATAGGTACCTACAAAAACAACCGTGCCCAGACAGTGCCTAGGTGAGGTAATATTGCAAGTATTAACCGGTGTGTCCATTTACCGTATTGACCACTATCCCATTTTCGTTGCCAGTTATTCATCAAATTTTCTCTAGCGATTCCCTTGAAAATGCCTGTATATTTATTTTTTCTCTCGATGACTTGGAGCCCTTTTGGTGGAATTCCAGTAATTCCAATAACACATGCTGCTTCTGCAGATATAGTTCTATATGCACTACATATTCTAACTGTTAATTTCTTTTGTAGGCCGGTGAGTTTTTGGACCAATTATTTGTTTTGCGTTACTGTGTGCCAAGATGGTGAACCGTATAAAATCTGGGAGTGTACTACTCCAGACAAAATCTTCCTCTTGGAGGATCTAGGACCCCCAACATTGGGCATCAGATTGACCAGCGCAAAAACTGTTCTTTCTGCCTTGAGGATACTCTGGGTTACGTGTTCGGTGAGCTTCGTGACAAGCCATACTCCAGGATACTTAACAGCTTTGCTCAGTACCGACTATCTCTGTGTCTTGCAGATCAAAAGTTATTGCTCCCAGTTTTCTCCTTTTAGTAAGCAATACTGCTTCGGTTTTTTCTGGAGCTGAACTAAGAAGTCTACTTTCCATCCAGTCTGCCACCAGCAAAAGTGCTCTGTTTGCAGTGTTTATTAAAAGTTCTCCTCATTTTCTACAACGATCATCGCCACATCATCAGCAAAGCCGACCAATTTAACTCCTTCGGGTATTTTTATAGAAAATTAACCATCGTATAATATATTTCACAAAGTAGGGCCAAGAACCGAGCCCTGAGGTACGCCACTGGTGATGCTAACAAATTTTGTCCCTTCCTTTGTTTCCAGAAGAATCTCTCTTTCTGATAGATAGGATGCCATTATAGTAATCATGCTCTGTTTGATTCCCCTACTCCTGAGTGACTCCAGTATCACCTGCGACGATGCACTATTGAAGGCATTTTTTACGTCTAGAGTGATTTACGCACATAGTTTTTGTTGAGCGGCAGGTCCTTGTGCAGTATTCACTACCATATTGATCGCGTCTACAGTATGTCTTCCTTTTCGAAATCTATCTATCTATCTATCTATCTATTTTTTTAAGGAGGTCAAATCTTCATAGACGCTGTGCCGGATTCTTACCGACTAAAAACCCTCCCCCTATTATCGGTTCCAAGTACCGGGAACAGGTCTTTTTCTCCTACCTCCACAAAGCCACTCCTAGTATCAAAAACTTACAGTACATTACAGGGTAGTCCAAACAACGTTCAGTAGTTGATCTTTTTGCTTTAGGAGATTTGCTGGGCGGACATTATGGGATTCGTGATGGAATAGACTATAAGTAATTCGTTTTCCTTTATATAATTGTAAATTCAATATAAAAACGCATTATTTGTTTATTAACGTTGTTTGGCCCTCTACCTCGTGAAAAATGTTTTTTGTGTACAATAAATATACCTCTGTGAGTTTTATTGCAGGCAATGAAGAAATATTCGATATTTTCCCGATAGTATGTTCATTTTTTGTTTGTTTTTACACGTGTATCCGTATTAAGGAAACAACTTTGTAGAGGACGGAAATGCTTTATCGATTGCAGGTTTCATTTGTTACCTGTCTCACTGAATCAACTTCCAGAATATCCACAAGATTGACCTCTATCTTCGTCATATGATCTTTGTACATCGGCCTCCTGAAGGACATAGTTTGCCACCCTGGTCTTGCTGTACACATTCTCGTTTTTCTTCCATTCCGATCCCATTCTCCTATCTGAAACAAAATTTCATACATGAATTAATTTATCATGTGTTACGTAATTTTAAGCTTTTCTCAGTGGAATCAGGTGTGAGTCTTATTTTCATTATGTATGAGAGGGCGCCAAGTGATTTACAACAAAATGAAACATACACCTCTGATAGAGCTAAAATCACGAAATCCAATTGGCTCATTTGCCAACCTATCAGTTGAAATGAAAGAAATATGTGAATGATTTGAATATATTTCGTTAAGAGGAATCCATGCCCACTTGAAACGTATTTTACTTATAGTTTCTCAACCAGTTATCCGATTTTCATGCAACTTGCACCGATCGCTTCAAAAAAATATTCCTCAAGTGCCTGACTATTGTTTTTCGAATTTTTGAAAAGAAAAAAAATTATCCCAACTAAATTGTTTTGAAATCATGGAAAATGAGAGTTACCCTCTAGTGAATATAGTTTTTTTGAAATTAAGTACATTTTCAAATCATCACATTTTAAATGAAAACTTTGAGAAGTAAAATAGAAAATGCATTTACGGCAACCAGTTCGTGGCGCCCTCTGATCACCCGACAATCTCTTCCCTGATCGCAAATGCAACGGCAAACGGCGTGCGGATTTTTATTTATGGGCTGCAATTCGTTCATTGTGAATTTCTCCTTCATGGTTTTTGAATTCGGAACTTGCTTTTTGGTGTGATTNTATAACAATCTGTGATATCAAAACGATAAATTGGTTTTCATCCATGTTTTAACTGCCTTCAACAACTCACCCCAATCATTCAAAAATATTTCTGATTATAAATATTAAAATTATAGGCTGAGCACTTTATGTATTAATTCTGTTTTATATTCCATGACCTTATAAAATTGATAAGATTTTTTTTTAGATTATCAAGGACGATTCATTCTGGACGAATAAAATGAAACCAAAGTTGGAAAATTTTTACAACAGTTGCCTCCTGCCCGAATTGATAGATCCTAGATACCCGAGGAAATTGGAAATTCGCAATCCACCACGCCAGTAAACATACCGTTGAAAAGTCTAGTTCACAAATGCTTTTTAGGTCAAAACTTTTTGCCGGCTCCTAAAAGTATGGTTGAAGTGTCATTCGATTCAGAATTTTTTTCTGTTTGATAATATAGGTGCATTTTCGAAACTAGAAGGAATTTTATTACGACCAATGTAGGACAACCTTTGTTGAAGATGAAATGATTCTGGCAATAGCCTCATGATAATAATAGAATAATAAAACATCGTTCACCATTGAAAATATTTAAACGATTAATTAATCTCCAAACGTAAAACAATTACGCTCCGTCTATGGAGTTTGCCGTGCCCCCTCTGTAGTGTGTGTATTTGAGTCGCAACAACATTAACTTGTCGATTTGCGTAATGAATATATCCATCAAGATAGAAGGAGGCGTACCTTGTTCAGTATGTCTGTAATTGTAAAAATAGGACCGCCTACCATATTCTCAGACATTTACCATTAGATGCAGTTCGAGGGTCCAGTTGCAGGTATGGAGCGCTCTTAATAGCAGTGAATATATTGTAATAAAAATTACACAAAGTTCAGAGTCAGAGGCAAAGAAAAACTCTCTCGAGAGAAGTTCCAGGATAAAGTCTATTGAAAACCAGTCTTCATCTTAGAACGCGCCTACTTCTCAGTTTTACCAAATTAACTTATGATGCACTGTTTGGAACCTCTGCTGTAGTAATGAATATCACTGGAGTTCTATCATATTACAAAAGTCGGCAGTTCGAATAATTGCTGAATTTGGATGGAGAGAGTCATGCAGGAGCTCTTTCAAAAACCTGAAACTTCTTACGGTTGTTTTTCATCGAACAAGAAAACTCATGATTATCCAACTCGTTCTGGAAATTTGCTAGTACCTCGATCACATCGAACAGCCCTCTATCAGAAAAGCCATCTTTATCTCGGACCGAAAATGTTCAACAAATTAGACGTAAATATAAAGGCAGCCCCTAATATAAATATTTTTGAATCAAGATTGAAAACTTTTTCAATTAAAAAAAATTGCTACTCCTTGGATGACTTTATCGATGATTTTATTCCTCTCCATGTTATTTGTGTTTCTTTTTTTTTTCTTTTTTTTAAGCTGACGTTTTCCTTGTTATTGTATACTGGAAGATATGTTTTTTTATCTTTTTTTCCATTGTACCTTTCAACAAGTGAAATATTTGATGATAAATAAATAAATGAATGAATAAAAATCCCAACACCAAACCGTTATTTTCAACACCTCGACACGTGTTTCGATCACCAAAGGATCATCTTCGAAACAAAGATAAAATGAAATCTACATACGATGTTGTCCTTATTTATACCATTGATACCTCTGCCAAGTCTTTATTGTCTTAAAATTTATTTCACAATGTTGCCTCATATACTAGTCGGGTGAATTTGATAACTAAAAATATCATTCCAACAAGCTATACATATAGTGAATTATTAGGTTTTGGTCCACCACCGTTATTCATAATATCATTACGTTGACTTATTTCTAAGCTCTTATAGGCATCTAGGTAACTGTTGTTGTTAACTTGTCTAACTAATTTCAATGAACTAAAGTCTACGAAATGGTATTGTTGCGAAACATGATGGGCGACTGCTGATTTTTCTGGTCTTCCAAATTTTAGGTGCGCTAAGTGTTCCTTATATCTTCTTTTAGTAGATCTTTAAGTCTGTCTATAATATTTGGCATCGCAGTCCTTACATTCAATTTCGTAAATTCTAGACCTTTTCGAATTCTCGACTTTATCCTTTGGATTTTCTAAAAGGCTCTGTAGTGTATGACTTGTTCAAAATACCACCTTCATAGCTAGGTCCTTGGAAATCTTTCCAAAGTTCTTCGTGTATTAGAGGTATGGAACTGAGATATATTTATCTTGGTTGTTGTTGTTTCTAAAAGTCGAGATTTTGTTCATTCTCAACCCAAACTAAATCTATCGATGTTGCACAGAGCATTCTCACTGCCTTTGTCTGCTAGCAATCTAGCTAGGGAAATTGATATAATTACACAGATAGGTCATAATAATGGTTTCAACGCAGATACTATCCAGAAGTTAGTCAGAAAACAAAGCCGTAAATTCACTTACAGATCAATATACCCTCAGATCAAACAACCAGAAATCATGAAATGAGTAACTCTTAACATATTTTGAAGAAATAACAGGGATAATTGCGGGTTTCTTCAGAAAAAACAATGTGGAAGTGGCATTCAGGCCACGCCAGGTTATCTGATTTCCTTTTCAATGCCAAAGATAAGGTGCACAAGTTGAAGAAATCTGGAGTTAATAAGCTTAAGTGCACGGAGTGTAATAGTGTTTATGTGGGACAATGTGGTCGAAATTTAAAAAAACAGTATGCTGAACATAGAAGGTCCTTCAGACCTTCTCCTCACTGTCACCAGTGAGGGTGACAGTGTTCTATGTGAGTACAATTTATTACCATTCATTCAAAGTAGAACTCATGTGAATGATATCTGATTCTTATTCCACAACAAATGTTTGAAATACAAACTGAGTAGAGAAAAGTATCTTCTGTATAATTCAGTGTTCATATAGAAGTATTTGTTTCGAAAGAATTATTTTCTTTCGTGTAATTCAATGTTTATANCCAAAAACCCTCCAAAAAAATTTAAAATTTTCAATTTTTTTAAATAAATAGAGCTTAAAATTATGAAAATAATATTTATGTGACTTCAAATAATAAGAATACGAATAAATTTGTATATTGAGGAAAACATATTTTTCATTCATTCATGCTTCAATTGAATTTTTGACTTTTTAACGTCTTTGATTATTAATAAAAAATCAAAATTTTTCAGTTTTTTCAACGGAAATCTTTTTTAAAGGCTTTCAAGAAAAGCTCGAAAAAGTGAACAAAATTTGAGGTTTTTAGTTTAAAAATTATCAGGGTTTTTATCTAATTTCAAAACTTGTGAAAATTAGTTAATTAACTAAAGTATATCTAATAAAATAACCACGGAAAATTTTTTTCCATGGATTTTTGTTTATTCAAGTATGTAGAAGGTTCATGAATTTTTTTTGATAATGATATTCAATGGGTTAAAATAATTTTTATTGTTCAAAGGTCCATATCGGTCAGCGCGTGCGGGACGCATATCGCCCGTTTTTACCACTATTTTCGCCTCTGAATTAAAATAAAAAATATTGGTGATAGAGTTCTGGGAGGTGCAACTTTTTTTCAGTAAATTTCCTCCTCTCCAAGGATCTTTTTTCAAATTTCGAATATTCTTAATATTTTCCGAGATATTTGCAAAAAACCAAACCCCTCCTTTTTTACTAAATTGTTTATAACTTTTGCAATTTTTTCGAGCCCCTCTTGAAATTTTTCAAAAAGTTGCTACAGGTCATTCCGAATCGAATGAGCCCTGGATCATAATTTTTGGTGCCCTTGGACAGAAGTTCCAAAAAAGGATCTTGTGATCCAGACTATAAGACTTCCAGCTATCGGCCGAGGCATACGCGTGAATGGTCGAGGTGTTGCGGTTTCGGTACCTTATGTCTGAATATACTAGTCCATGAAATAACCAGGAAAGAGTAATTCTGATATCACGAGAATAAGTGAATTATCTTAGCCAGCTTTTCCATGAACTGAGCGTGATCACATTCGAACCGTTCATGGAAAATATCGAGCATTTCATAAATCAGCCCGTGTTTTCGGACTACACGAACAGCAATTAAATTGCTGCATGCTTCAACTATCCATTGCTTTTTTCGATGACGTTCTACGAAGGAAAATTTAATCTCATTCTTGTTTGAAATGAACAATAATACAACAAATCAATGAAAATTGCCTATCTACACAGTAAAGAAGTGTATTAAAAAAAAACTGTCAATGTCAACAAGCGAAGGTGTGCAAATCAACAAAAATTATTTTCTGGCGATCAGCGAAATATTTTTAGTTGATTTTTTTCGAGCATTGTCAAGTCGACACAAAGACTTGTGGTTTTCACAAGCAAAATTCTTCTTTGAACTCCCCAGATCAATTATTCAGCA